CTAGTGCGTTCTCCAGAGGTGGTATCCACTCTTTCAGGACCACCACAATGGGTGAGATACCGTTGGTCATGCTAATTTGGACGTCTAGTTTCTGCCACACTAGATGGCAGCACCGAGACTCTATTTGGATGCTAAAGTGCAATAGGAATTTAATTTTGCCGGAAATGCCAAGAGCCAATAAGGCACTCCAGGGATCTTTTACATGCCGCATAATCATACGACATGGGGCACTGAGGATTATCTGAATCCCGAAATTCCGGTGTCTGGGGCGGGGATCGAAGCCGCAGACTTGGGCTCAGAAGGCCAACTGCACTACCCAGCAATACCTGAAATATAACATAAAAATAATTTGAGGTCATATGAAATCTATAGGCAGCACCGAAATAACTCAGTTATATGTAAATAGCATAATTATATAAAAATAATTTTGTTTAACCTATTGAAAAGAGTTTGGTTTATGAGAACGCAAATTTTTTTTTCTTCATAATATTCCTTTTCAGGTATTTTCTCAAACTAAAAATAATTTTTAAAGTTTTTCCAAATTTAAAAAAAAAAAAAAAAAATTACTCAGTGACAAAAAAACAGGAATTTCCAATAAAAGTTTTAGGATACTTTCGAGGTCTCTTTTTCAAAAAAAATTGCATACTTCATAAAAACTGAGATACATGCTATTTAATTAACACATTTTAAGCCAAACATTGAAATTTTTTAAAATATGGTATTATTTTAATCGAAATATGCTTAAATTACATTCAGTAAGTTATATTATTTAAGAAATGAAATGGTGCGTACATGCAAATAATTGGACAAATCAGTAAGTTGAACTCTAAAAATTATTATATTGCAATTCCTTTCAAGGTGTCCTAGTATGACTTTCTAAAATCTTCACTTATCATGTAAATAATCAATCAAGAATTACATTAAAGTCGATTTTCTAATTATTAGGTCACAAATTAGACTATTAGAATAATTTTAATTTCATTTGTTTCATTAAAATGTATTTCATGGAACTTAATCAAAACAATTTAAATTTTTTCAACTTGCTATCCATAGAAGTTTAGAATTTTTTTCTTCCAAAATCTTTAAATTTGTAATTTAAGTTCCACGAAACATTTGCCTCATTTTAATGAGTAAAATGAATCAAAAAGTATTTCAAAATGCTGATTATTAATTTGAATAATACATTGATATTCATGCAATTCTTCATAGAGTAACATATTGAGGGCTCCATTCAAATATTACATATGTTTTTAGCATTTTTGGACTCCCTCCTTCATATCATCAAAACCAAGTATATCACAAACCATACCCATATGCCTATGCAAGAAAGTCATAACATCCCCTGATTTTTACTTCAGCTTCGACAGTATTAATCTAATTTTAGGATTAAATTCAAAGATGATGTAACTTTGTATAAAAAAAATTTTTTTGTTGTAATTCATTTAATAAAATTTCGAAAAGTATATTCTTTAGATATCTTTTGTGTTTTTCTTCTACAATCAAAACTCGAACTATGAACTCAAATCCTTTTAAAGAAGATATTTTCTACCAAATTTAACTTTTATTTCTAATTTTTTTAGTGCAATTTTTTCTTCAAGATTTTTGTAAAATAGTGTTTCTTTTTTTCATTTAAAAAAAAATATTTGAAAACAGGATGATTTTACTGTAAACAGGACAATTTTTTGTAAGCATTGCTCAAACCCCTCTTCTCCCCTTATCAGCAACAATAAGAAAATCAGGAACCACGACCCCCTCAATTACTTTTGTGATATTTAAGGGATTCTAAGGTAAAGAGCAGAATTTCACTCCAGAATACCTTTAACAAAAATTGTTTTAGGTAAATTTCAAATTGAAAAATAAGTTTCATTTATTTACTTGAAACAAACTTGTTTATTGAAATTTATTCAAAATCGATATTGAAAACTAAACTGTTTATTGAAATGTATACAACCTAGATTTTCAATAACTTCAACATAACATAAGCCTATAGAATAAAACTAATTTAACTTAAAACTGGTTCAGAAAATTATTCCAATACAAATACTTTTATATCTGAACTAGTGATTTTTCCTTCAAATAAGCATGGACTTTAAATCCAAAAAATATATATATATATTTTTAGGCGATTCAGATGCTCAAATAAGTTGCTAAAAGTATCAAAACCCAAACTATATTTAAGATTTACGTTTTATGAAACCTTCCCAGAACTTTAGGTACATTATGCAACTTCTTTCCCTTTCTTATCAAAATCTAGTCTACATACTTTAAGTTTAAAAGAAGAATATCTGAAAAAATCTGGGTCCATAATATCTGGCAGTATTCAAGTATCTGTATTTCAAGGAACTGTTGAATTTTACTCTACTTGTAGAATATTAACAAAAAATTTAGGTAAGAAGGTGTAAAAGTTCGATCTTTTCAGAGGAAGATAAAAATAAAGTATTTACGCACACAGTCCAAAAGTATCTGCAAGCTCATAAGATTTTTGATAATAGAATAATTTTATTAAATATACAAAAACAATTAATTATTTAATATTTTTACTTATTCTTGACAAAAAAAATATATATTTACATGCACATTAACATCATTAGAGAAAGATTAATATTTATAGTTATACATAGAACTACATTCATAAAAAGTAATTATCTTAGTAAGTAATATTAGTAATTTTGCTCCAAACATAAGTACATTAAAAGATTTCCTACTGTCAACACAATCGTCTAGTTTTGTTGCAAAGCGAGTCACACCAAGTGGAGTTGGAAAAAATCAGCTGATTGTAGGTTCCACCGCTAATGATGGGATCGCTAATCTTTGAGCTTAATGGGCAGCAAGCATACAATTTAACACTGACTTTCTTCTACCTTGCATAAATCATGATAAAGCTATTTGCTTCATATTTTCTTTTCCACCACTGCACTTTTTTTGCATGAGCAGGATAACCACCAATAAATCTGCGTACAGTGCATGTGTGCGTGTCTATATTATCTAACTATGTATCTTTTGTAAAATAAATTTAAAAAAGAAGAAAAATTATTATTTAGTGTGCATTACTGCTCTCCACCCCCAAATGCTAATTTATATTGTAAGAATCATTTAAAAAATTAAATTACATTTCATGTAGATCTAAATTCTCCTAGTTTATAGTTGCATTGACTGAAAATCATTTATTTTTTTTTTTCCTTTTAAAAAATAGAAGATATAGAAACTATGGAATGGATTCTATAACAGTCAGTAATTCCTTTAACTTTCTATATATAACAAGCTTAATTTTCTTAAAAATAAAAAAATCCACCTAGTAAATTAATAATCTTGTCAGTGCATTTTCAATGTTGTTAATAAAGACTTTAATATGATAAAAAGTTTTATTTACAAATTTTAAATTACAAAAAATGAATTACTAAATGACAAACAAAATCTTGATAAAAAGATGATTCAATGAGACCATAACTAATCATCTTTCAAAGTACCTAAAAATTAAATAAAGTATAAGAAACTTGGAAATATAATGCATCATTGATAATTTACTTCAATTATAAATTATATAATTTATAACATATTTTAACAATATCAAATATATTCATATTATGATACACATTAAAATATTAGAGATATTTAGTTGTAATACAACTATAGGAAATATAGAATGGATACTAATCGCACATCAGTGGCGTAGCGATTTTAACTCGCGCCCGGGGCACAATACCTTTTTAGCGCCCCCCCCCNCTCACGTTCGAAAACTATACAATATAATATGTAAAATATACTCGCAAATTAATAAATAAATAAAGTAAAATAAATAAAGTCTTAAGCTCAAGCTAGGCTTTAAATTTGAGACAAAAAATGTAGTTGAGAAAACAAGACTAGATTTTGAAATGTTTATGGTCATCTATAATTAGTTCATAAGATACCTATTATTTATTTTCCATATTTATAAAGAAATATTTTAAAAACACGCAGTTTTAAAACAATAAAAAAGTAAATATTTACTATCTCTAAGGAGATACATATATTTAAATGATTATAATACAATAGGAGGCTAAGCCCCCTGCGCGCTGGCGCTCGCCAACCCCCGGAACTGCTTCACAATCCAATGCTCGCTTTGCTCGCGCATTGGATACGTTCTTAACGTCTAGCTTTTGTATACTTTTTTGAACACTGAAGTTCTGAAAACTTTTCACTGTAGAAAATTCTAAACCTGTACATTTCAATATTAATTTGAAATTGCAAACAGTTCACATATTTTTCTTAATCACACTATTCTAAATTTCAGTTGTTGAGAAAAGTAACTGTTGTAAGTTTTGTTTTAAAGTCTTTCCCACAAAAGGGCTAAAGCCATGTGTTGTAAAACAATATGAAATAGTAGTCTGCCACTGAACGCCGGATGTAAAGTATCGGCTTCGATGAAGATAATTTTGT